AAAAAAAAAAAAAAAAAAAAACTAATAGATGATGTTCGTCCTAGAAAAATCAGCAAGTAGTCCACAAAAGAACTAGAATGGTCAATGAACATTTGGAAAATTATTTAATTTCACAAAAAAAATTAGAATTCAAATAAAATCTTTTATCTAACTGGCAAAGATTTTACTCTTGTGTTTGTTTTCTTTCTTTTTTTTTGGCAAATAATTTTAAAAGATAGCAGTGTTAACTGTTTAAGTCCAGGTGATCATTATATAAAGCTTGGTGGTGTGTAAATTAGTACATTTCTGAGCGATGAGTTGACAGAGTGTATAAAAACTTAAAAAAAAAATGCACTGTTGAAAGAACAACTCTATTTGCAGCAATTCAAGAAGTAACTGTGGGGCTGGGGATTTAGCTCAGTGATGCCACAAGATCCCAAATTCGATTCCTGGTACCAAAAAAAAAAAAAAGTAGCTGTGGATGTATGAAGAGCTTCCATCACAAAGATATTCATCACAGTATTGCCCAAAACAATGAAACTTTAGGAACAACACAAATATTTAACAGAAGAGAATTGTTTATCTTCCTACAGTGTAATAATGCAGTGGAATTCCTGGAATGGATTATTAAGGGATATTGACAAATTTTTGGATAAAAGACTGGAAACACAGACTCTAAAACATTCATAGTGGTTACTGCTGGACATATGGTATTGTTTTCTTTGTGTGTGTGTGCGTGTGCATGTGTGTGTCTTACTGAAGACTGAACCTGGGACCTTGGGCGTGCAAAGCCAACAGTCTACCATTGAGCTATACCCTGAGTCCTTTTATTAAAAATTTTATTTTGAGACACTGTCTTGCTAAGATGCCCAGACTGGCCTCAAACATGAGCTCCTCTTGCCTCAGGCTCCTCAGCTGGGAATACAGGCATTCACTACCATTACCTATCTTTTTGTTTTCTTTGTGTGTATATATGAACACATGTACCCATGTATAATGTGTGTGCCTATTTAAGAAAAAATCTCTCTTTTTTTTGGTACTGGGGATAGAACTCAGGCCCTTGCACTTGTGAGGCAGGTGGAACCACTGAGCCAAATCCCCCAGCAAGAAAAAAATCTCTTATTGTGTAAAAAGAACAGGGGGCTGGGGATTTAGGTCAGTGGTTCCGCTGCCTGCCTCCCAAGCGCAAGGTCCTGAGTTCAATTCCCGGTACCAAAAAAGTAAAAAGAACAAAAGTTATATTAAAACAATTAAGACTTTTCTGGGGTGTAGGTCAGTGATGTAGTATTTCTCACAAGTGCCTCTTCCTGGCAGATTCAATTTGTTTTCTCTATTTCAAAATAACAAGTCCTAATTGACCAAAAGCCTGAAGAGATGCAGGGAGAATAAAAACCAGGTAAAACTACACAGGATTGAGTAATTCAAAGAGAGAATGGACGCCGGCTAGACTGACAGATCTGACTACATTACCAATGATTCAGGCTCCAAAAGCACTACCACTGCAGAGGACAAAAAATTGTTTGGATTGTGGCACACTCCATTATTTTAATTCCAGGTTGAGTGTCTCCTAAGTGAAATGCTTGGGGCCAGAGGTGTTTCAGATTTTGAAGTTTTTCAGACTTTAGAAAAGAGTTAAGGTTTAAAGTCAGTATATAAAGCAACAACTGCCTATCAACAAAAATAACCATAAAAATCTGAGTCTTCAGTGAAGTACAGAAATACCATTTCTCAATAAGTCCCACACAACCAGTCCAACCTCCCACATCAGAACGAATTGGTCTTTCTTTTGCTGAGTAGCAGATGAAAAACAAGTAACATTAAACACTACAAGCAGACCCAGCATTTGGGATCTGAGGCATATCAGTGGGGGAAAGAATTTGGCTCCCATTTCAGGTCACTTCCAGGCACAGGCTCACTGGGCAAAAGGGCAGGCAACATTGCCCTTGCTCTTCACCAGCAAACACACACCTCCTGCTTTTGCTTTTGTTTTGGCAGAGGTAGTTGGATTTGTAGGACTTAAATACATGTGCTACAGCTGTATCTACCACAAACAAAAAACACCTTGTGAGGTTTCCTGCCTTCAGTGTGGTGAGCTCATTTCCATTTCATCCCTCAGTCACTAAGAACCATCACTAGTTTGGGAAACTGACCTCAGGTCAAGGAGTGCAGCCAACTTCTCTAGGGATAATCTTATTTCTCTTGCCAGTGATTGGTTCAGGGGCAGGTACAGCACATTACAACTGACCAGGAAGTTAGGTGGACGATTCCAGGAAAAATTTTGTTTTTTGTTTGTTTATTTGAGATAGTGTCTCACTACGCAGTTTAGGCTGGCCTTAAATTCACTATTGTAGCCCTGGCTGGCCTTGAACTTGTGGCAATTCTCTTGCCTCAGCTTCTCGAGTGCACCACAATGCCACCTGGCTACTTTTTTTTTTTTTTTTTTTTTTTTGTACCAGGGATTGAAATCAGAACCTTGCTCTTGCAAGGCAGGCATGGTGCCACTGAGCAAAATCCCCAGCCCTCCGTTTGCTTTTTGAGAGAAGATCTCACCATGTAGTCCACACTGGCATTGAACTCATATGTAGCCCAGGCCAGCCTCATGGTGATCCTCCTGCCTCAGCCTTCTGAATGCTAGGATTATAGGTATGTACCACTATGCCCAGTTGCTGTGGTCTTTAAGAAGAGCAATAAGAAGTCAGGTTCCCCTCTTCTACCCAAAGTATATGTGGGAGCATATAGCCCAACTGCTACTACAAGCAGCCATCATTCAGTCATGAGGGGACTAGGTCTAAGAGAAATACACTGCGGGCAACAGAGTATGGAAAGAAAATTTGGGTTCCTGATAGCACTGCCGAGCTACTGAATTGCCCAGCCCTGAAATCTTTCCTACCCTTAGAATACCTGTTCTGAGTCAATCATGATGGTGTACAGCTATAATCTAGTACTCAGGGAAGTTAAGGCAGGAGGGTCACAAGGTCTAGCCCATTTGAGCTACTTCCAAATAAAAATAAAAAAGGGAGCCTGGAATATAGCTCAGTGCAAAGGTCCCGGGGTTCAATCCTTAGTACCAGGAATGTGGGTGCCCATAAAGAAATTAGAATACCTACTCTAGAGCTAAAAGAAACTATTTTTCAAACTAGTTTGAGTTGGGTTTTTTGTTATTTGTAGCTGAATGATTCCTAAACAAATACATTGCCCGTAAAACAGAACCGGTTTAGGTTCTCTGTATTTATGCACTAATGCTCTAACATGCAAACAGTTTCTCAGAGAACAGGCAAAAGCAGTGATTTGGGGAAAAAAGAAGCACTGACTTGGGAAGGACACGTCATGTCAATACAGAAAGGAACCCAGCCGTCTCTCCTCCTAACAAAAAAAGCCTTTAGATCACCTTTCACTAGTCTTAATATAATTACCTGACTGAGGTAGACTGTGATTCTGCAAATAGAATTTATATCCTCCTGGGGCCTCAATTTCAAAAACTCCTTCTGCAACTTCGCTGAGCGGCCACTGTAGCTTCCTGGCATTGTTGACAGCTTGGCTAGAAGTGAGTGTGATTCCCTATGACAAATAACAGTAACATCCACATATATAATAACAATCTTTCACAGAACAAGATAAGGAGCCCAAACCCCACTGCCTTTATTACTGAGGTCAAATCACATGAGATTTAATTGGCGTTCAGAATTTTTGTTCTAGTCATTTTATTTATTTTGTTGCAATTTTAAAGTAGTTTTGGATGCTTTCTTCCACAATGATTCAAAATTTCATAAATCCCAGGACAAAAATTCAAATGCCAGTGAAGTTTGATCCATTTAATACCAAAGATAATCTTTTCAAATTTTTAAGATCTAGCCAGAGAAATTATGATCCTACCTTGGCCTGCCAGCTACCTATTTGAGATGATCTGTTTATATTCTTCCCCCGCCACTGCTCCCTCCCCCCCTCCCTCCCCGCCACCTTTCCTCCCAGTTCTAGGAAATGAATACAAGGGCCCTGGGTGGTCTAGGCAAGCCCAGCTCTACCACTGAGCTTCACCCTTGGGCCTATTCTTGTTTTTATTTTTATTTTTTATTATTTGATACCAGGTCTCATTTTATTGTCCAGGCTGGCACTAAACTTGAGATGTTCCTCCTTCAGCCTCTCATGTGCTGGGATTACAGGCATACAGCATTATGCCCATCTGTTTTTGCTTTTTTTAAACAAACAAAAAATATTTAACCAACTATAAAAGCATTCTTTAAATTTAATAAAAGTACCTAATAATGTACACTTCTGCCTTCATATAAAACTAGCATCATTTCTAGCTTAGACTATCATAATAATCTCTGCTCTACTTCTGTTAATCCAAAACCCACTCTGTAGCCAGAATAAACTTTCCAAAACACAAAATTCTCAATGGCTGGATGTGCTGGCACACACACCTGCGATCCCAATGCTTAAGAGGCTGATGCAGGAGGATCACCACAAGTTCTGAAACCAGCCTGGGCTACACAGTGAGTACAAAGCCAGCCTGAACTGAACTACATAGCGAGTATAGTCGCTATACCAAAACCACACACACATACACACACGCACACACACAAAATCTCTCAATGGCTCTTCATTTCACTTGGATAGTTGTTTTTGTTTTTTTTATACTAGGACTCGAACTCAGGACCTTGAGCCTGGTGAGGCAGGAACTGTGCCACTGAGCTAAATCCCTGGCCTTCACTTGGATTGTTTATAAAGGCCTAAAAGATTCACAAAATCTGATCCATGACACTTCTGACCCTGATCAAAGAACTAAAATATTTAACCTGCTGAAAGATAAAATAGGAAAAGTCTTGAAATCACAGGTGTAGGAAAGGACTTTCTGAACAGAACTCCAGTTGTACAGGAAATAGTACCAAGAATCAGCAAATGGGATCATAGCAAATTAATCCCAAGGAGGGTTTTGGGGGGGTAGTCAGTGAGGAGGAGCAAAGATTCCAAGAATGTAAGGGATTGGGCCAGGGATTTAGCCAATTGGCATTATGCCTGACTTGCAAGCTCAGGGTCCTGAATTTGATCCCCAATACCGCCAAAAAAAAAAAAAAAAAAAAAAAAAAAAAAAGGGACTCAGCCATGTGAATATGGGGTTGGCTGGAAGGAGAACTCTAGACAGAGAAGACCCTGTGCCAAGGCCCATAAGCAGTGCCTGGCATGTTGCAGGAAATGCAAGGGAGTCAGTATGGCTGGAATAGAGAGAAAAAGGGAATGATGGTAAGAGATAGAGTCTAGACTCAATCTTTTGCATGTGCATAGCCAATCCCATTTTAAGTTAAAACAAATTTTCCCAGACAAAAATCTCCTGGGACAGAATACTTACCAGGAAGTCATTGCCAAGTTTGTAGTCTCCGATGCCATAATTATAAGTCAGCTCTGCAACAAAATGATCATCCTCGGGCCCGAATCCCACCATTGTTTTACTCCATTTCCCATCATAAGGCCTAGAAGAATGAAAAGTAAAGTCAGTGATCACACACGAACTCTACTTCAGCTCCCCTCCCCCAAAAGAACTATTGGGCACAGATGGGGGCAGTCCTTTCTGGCCTCATAAATCCTTGAGGAGATGAGATGACCTGAGACAAAGCTGAGAACAGTTATGGACAGTGCTCACGGGCCCCAGCCACAAGATCCAATGATCATTTGGCACTTACTAGAGGGACCTTTCACTTATGTTTTGTTCAAAGGAGAGAGCAGAATCCTAAAGACAGTTCTCCAGGCTAACTTTATTTCTTTGCACATCAATAAGCATCAATAATTCCAATAAGCCTTGAAATCCTCAATTTATAGCTCAGACTTGTGACTGGCACCTGAAGTGGAGGCAATCTTGTGGGATTGTGTCCTTAGCTTATAGGATCTGACACCAACTCCAGAGAGGTAAAGAAATAAATTAAATAGTAGGACACCTGGCTGGTATTTCAAGAACAGCTCAGTGTACAAGTGTGTGAGAGTGCAGCAAAACGCAGAATGTCTCCTCAGTGTTCTTCAAGTTGTCTCTCTAATGTATTTTCTTAATTTATTCTACTGTCTTATACTCACTTTGAGATGCCTTCTATTCTCTTGGGGTATTCAGAATCTAAAGGAGATTTTAAGATAGGTGTCATACCCATTACAGGCAGCTTTGCAGCCTTCCTCAAATTCCTCATGCCGCAGGACCTGGTAAAGGCATTAGAAAGTAGTTTTATGAGTACTGCATATAACATATTTTGCACAAACTAAAAGGTAAAAACACAGTATCATTTGTAAGCTTTATTTAAAGAGAGAGGGGAGGACAGGGGTGAGGCAAGGTGCCTTTTCCAGGCTAGATACAATGGAGTCACAAAAGAACAGTTAGATACCAAGAGTCAGACTATAAGCAAGTTGATAAATCTATTTAGATTGGGAAGCAGTGCTGTGTAATGAAAAAGGTCTGGTCTTTGGCATTAGAGAAGTATGATAAGTTCTTACAGCTGCTATCCAACACTAACTCTAAGTATAATTCTTTTTTTTGGTACTGGGGATTGAACTCTGGTCCTTGCGCTTGCAAGCCAGGCCACCAAACCACTGAGCTAAATCCCCGGCCCCCATTCTAAGCATAATTCTAAGAAAGCTGCTTAATCTTGGAGTTGTTAAAAATGGACAACTTCTCGAAGCATCCAACACAGAAACCAGTATACAGTGGACTGTCAAAGTCTTAGTTTCTACTTTCCTTTTTAATTCCCATTGCTACTACTGCAACTGAATCTTTTTAAAGGCTATTAGAAATCATCTTCATTGATCTTCCTCCCTAACATTACTATATCTCTAAAATGCAGCTCTTATCATATCACTGCCCTGTTCTAAAAATGTAAATGAACTCCCTACTTATGCAGCATAAAATTCTTGCTCCTTAGCATAGCATTCAGGACTCTATCAGAAGCAATTCCAATTTATTTGCCCTGATATCTCATCTCTTCAAATAAGTAACCTTAGTGAAATCAAAGGCACATAAAACTAGTGGTATTTCCCAAGTGTATCTTTGTATCATCAATTCAGTTCTTTTAGTATAATTTGTCTGTATAATCTTGATCTGTGGAAATCTTAATTATATTTAGAGGTTAACTTGAATGCAAAGTCTCCATGAATTATCTACTGATAAGCCAGGCTGGAAAACACTTCCATTTTTTTGTTTTGTTGTGTTGTGTTTGCAGTGCTGCGGGTTGAACCCAGGGCCTTGTGTATGCTAGGTAAGTGCTTAGCAGTGAGCTACATCTCCAGCTCCTTTTGTTTTTTGTTTTTTGGTACTGGAGATCCAACTCAGGACCTTGCGCTGCTGCCACTGAGCTAAATCCCAGCACTCCCTTTGTATATATAACAGTGGCTGACACTCATAGAACACATAGTATCTATGTGTTGAATACTACTTATTTTTAATACCATAATAATAGCTAATAAATAACATTTAATCTTCACAACAACCCTTTTATCAATAAAAAAATATAGTTAAGGTGAGCTTTATGGTTTCCTGCTATCATTTACCAAATTCCGACTTCCATTATTATTAGCTATGTATAAATCCAATCCTGTTTCCATCACATCCCAGACCATGAGCTCTGAGGACAGACACCAAGATTATTTGCACCTTTTCCCAAAAGTCAACATAATACTACCCTGAAACAGCAGATATTTTAAAAATGATTGGTAATGGCAGGTAATTTGCTTAACACATCTCCTGTACTGTGTCCACCCTAAACTGAATTCCCGCTCTTCAAAAGTGTGGTGTGCTTCTTACCACCCTTCTGCCTAGCTTATCAGGAGCTCCCCAGTAATTTCCACCTGAGTTTTCAGCTAAGGAGACAGGCTGCTTCTTGTCTGGGGAGGAGTACTGAAGTACTGAAAGGAGAGTGTGAGTCAGAGATTTACCAAGCAAGACTGAGTACCCAAAAGAAACCATTCAAACCAGTCTTTTTTTTTTTTCTGGTACCGGGAATTGAACTTAGGACTTTGTGCTTGCTGGGCAGGCGCGGCCCCGCTGAGCTACGTCCCTCAGCCCCTCAAACCAGTCTTAAATGGAGCAGAATTTTTAAAGAATAGCAAATTCAAGCCCAGTATTGTCTCAAAAACACAAAAACAAAAACGAAGGAAAGAAACAAAAGTGCGGAGAATGTCGCTCAGTACTAAGACCCTGGGTTCAATCCACAGTTGGCAGTGGGGGCGTAACTTTGAATATTCAGATTATCTATTCAGAAACCGAAATGTACAAATGTCATATATAACTTTTTGCTTTCCAATAGACTGTATAGTTTACCAGGACCAGAAGCCAAGTAAATACTTGTGAACGAACTTAAGTGAAAGAGCGTATCACGCTTCCCTTCAAAAACTATCTACACTTGATCTTAGCCATTCGAAAACGACCTAATCTGTACTGAGGGACTCGCAACATTTCCTGAAGCTGAAAACCCCCACAGTGCCATTTGGGGAGTCTTGGGCCTAACGTCAGACAGATAGGAACATTTTTCCCAGTCCTCTGGCTTCACTACACTGCCATTTCTCCCCCACCCACTTTCTCTAGGTGCTGCTGGTTCTCCCGTCCCAGGCCCGCGCACCAGCCCCTGTCGCCCCGGCCTCCACCTTCATCCCCAGGACATCGCGGAAGAAATGCGTTGTCTGGAAGCGGTTTCCCACTTTGAACACGAAGTGCAAAGCTCTGCGAGAGGCCATGATCTCCACAGCAAAAAGCTAGACAGGGCAGCAATAGACGCACTAGCCGCGCAAGGGGCGGGTGACGTCACCAGGCATCGACGGCGCGTTTAGACGTAACTCACGGCGCCGGGAAAGATGGCGGCTTTGGCCGGGTGCTTGCGGTGTGCTCTGAAACCGTTGCTGCCTGTCGTCCAGACTGGGGACCTCGGAGCGCGGCGCTGGGTCCGGGCGCTGCGGAGGAACCCTGTGAAAGTAGTATTTCCATCTGGAGAAGTGGTGGAAAAGAAGCGCGCTCCCGGGAAGCAGCCCCACGAGGCAGCCTCTGAAGCCAATCCCGAGGAACAGCGACGTAAACAGCCACTTCATATGTCCCCATCCCGGACTCCTAGCACCTGGGAAGAAGCAGGGCTTCACTACGATAAGGCTTTTCCTGGAGACAGTAGGCTGAGGTGATGTTTCTGAGGCTTGTCGGTGTTCCTGTTTGTCTTACTGCCTTACAGCAGGACCTCATTTTGATGGAGCATTTCCAGTACAACCCGCTGGTTTTTTATTTTATTTTTATTATTCAGAACAAATGTCACTTGAAATTTGTTTCTATCCATGTGAAGCTCTTTATGTCTGTTAGAAGTGAATGCCTCAATAACAATGTTGGTAATCGTCCATCTTTTCGTTTCCATCCACAGGAGTATAATGACTATCGTTAAGTCCAGGTCATTTCGAGAAAGGAAAGGGAAGATTCTGTTGGAAGGTCGCAGGCTGATTGCAGACGCCCTCAAGTCAGGAGCTGTACCAAAGGTTTTTTTCTTTAGCCGTCTAGATTACGTTAAAGAGTTGCCGGCTGATAAGTTGAAAGGAGTCAGCCTCATAAAGGTGAAATTTGAGGATATCAAGGATTGGTCCGACCTAGTTGCTCCACAAGGAATAATGGGTCAGTGGTTACACAATGTGTTGCTAGGTGTAAAACCCTAGAATTTCTTGTTTATCCTGTCTTAGGGCAACAAATTTTACTTAAGACAAATTCAAAATGTTAACTAGTGTGTCCTTTCTTATGACACCCAAAAGGGTACAGGTCTCAAGCCTATGTATGGTGTTTTCAGTGAAAGCTGAAGCCAATTTCTTACATTTGTATTATGGCTTTTTATAGTCTTTCCTCATGTTTCTTTAACTTTTTTTGGGACAGGGTCTTTCTATGTAGTTCAGGCTGGCCTTGAACTCACTGTGTAGCCCAGGTTGGCCTCAAACTTAGGCAGTCCTCCTGCCTCTGCCTCCTGAGTGCTGGGATCATAGGTGGTGTGTACCACCACACCCAGCTCTTTGTCAACATTTAATGTCAGACTAAAAATTAAAATATTTCCTGAAAGATATTGCTCTCAGTTTCTACAGAAACTCTGCCATTGTAGTAATAACTTGTAACAGTAACCTCCTTACGCCAGAAGCATGTCTAAAGAGTGAAGAGTAAGTTGTAACTTACTGCTGTTGGCCTAATGAGTAGTACACTTTGTCTGCTGCAATCTTTCTGCACTTGGTTGAATTCTAACTCAAGGTTTCATGTAATGATGTTTCTCAGTAACTTAGAATGTCTTCTTTCTATATATGGGAAAATAATTCTTTATACTTTTTGGCACTGGAATTATATGTATTTCCCTATTGTGGGCTCACTGATGTGACTCCATCCTTGGACTGTATAGCCATTTTTACCATGCTTGTCACTTTGGGCATGTGTGCTAACAGTGGCCAGCCGATCTTGGACTTTTGTAGCTTCCATAATGAGAAATGATTGCTTTTATAATTTCATCATTTTTGGGGTTTGTTTTTTGAGGCAAAGACTTGCTACGTCTCTGTTCAGGCTGGCCTCAAATTATTGGCAATCCTCATGCCTCAGCCTCTCGAATACTGGTGTGCATCACCACACCTAGCCATTTCATCATTTTTTAAAAAGTTATATTATTTAGTTTATTCATATGGTGTTATATTTCAAATTTGAGAAGGGGGCAGAGGGGAGAAATAGGAACCAGTGCTACTTGTCAAGTGTCAGGCACTCTAAACCTGGTTTAGTGAGTGCTCTGTAAGTAGTAGAATTTCATTACCACAAACATCCAAGTAGAAGTTAGGGATACCTAAATTCCCTTGCCCCACTGAGCCATCTTGTGGCCATCATAACTCTAAAGTACAGGATCCTTATAGCACACAGGTGCTTGATATCATGACATTGTATATATTCAGGACTTTGTATCTTTGTTGTCTTTGAAAGGATCCTAAATTTTTCTTTGTATTATGTATAAGGGCAGTAACTAGAGTTTTTTGTTTGTTTTATTTTTATTTGCACTACTTTGGGCTTTGCCCTGAGCTACATTGCATTCCCAGTCCACTCCCCCTTTTGGTACCAGGGATTGAACTCAGGACCTTGCGTTTCCGAGGAAGGTGGTGGAACCACTGAGCTAAATCCCCAGTCCCCAGCCGTTTTTTATTTTTAAAGACAGGTTTTCTTGAAGTTGATAAGTTGCTGAGACTGGGCTCACACTTGTGATCCTCCTGCTCATTCTCCCAGAATGCTGGGATTACACATGTGTAATCCCAGCTAGTAACTCATTTATTGGAATAGTAATATTCAGCAAGATGCTTGTAAAATTTTAAAAATTGCACAGTTGTTTGGGAGCATGTGCTTACAAAAGAACTTTTTATTTGATACCAATTTATATAAATACCAATTTATATATATATATATATTTG